TTACAGATGATGAGTAAGGAACGCAGAATAAGGGTAGGTAACTCTGCGTGGCTTTCCAATGTTTGTTGCACCGAACCACTATATTTATACCTGGTGGTGGCTTTATCTTGTACACTTTTTGTAGCCTTTTTGCTTTGATGTCTATACACACTATTTTGCACTTTCTTTTTCTTCTTTTACATCTTTTTTATGTATTTTAGTGTTCATGAATCTTTATGAGATGCCCTAACTGGTGGGGGTGGGGGATGAAAATGATGTAATGAACATTTCCTTAAGATTAATAAGAAAACTAGTTCTTTAAAAATTTATTTTTGAAATGAAAATTTGATTGAATTTCTTAAAATGTCTTGTGCCATTTTCTAAAAAAGAAAATCTGCAGCAATCGGGCATCTTATATTGTGTTGATATATGTATTGTATCAAGATGTAAAATTATTGTATTTCTCTCTCTCTCTCTATCTCTATGCATACTTTGACTTCTTATGCCCAACATCTCCAATATCTTATAACTTATATTTCTCTCTCTCTCTCTCTCTCTCTCTCTCTCTCTCTCTCTCTCTCTCTCTCTCTGCATACTTTAATTTCTTATACCCAACATTTCCAATATCTTATAACTTAAATCAGCACAATGTATTCCTCATTTACTGTTTGTACATTTATAACATGAAATTAATCAAACTTTCTACGATGGAAATATTCCGTTAGTACAGCAGAGAGTTTTTTCATTTGATATGTAAATGTAATTCTGTTTTTGTTGCTTGTTCTTGTATTTTTGATGCCTGTGAATGTCACTGTTCTTATGAAATTAACGCCGCCTTATATATGTATGCAAAAAAAAAAAAAAAAAAAAAAATAGAAAGAAAGAAAAGGGGAAAAAAAAGTTTAATTTGGATCAAATTATAAAACACACAAAGAAATTTCTTAGTTGAATCATATGTACAACTAAAATAAAAGTCTCGTACATATCTATGCTTTGTAAATTGCAAAAATTAGAACATGTACAGTTGCATATTGCCAAAATCTTCTAAAGGCATTTTATAAACACTGTACATGCTGTTTTGTAATGCATTAAACAATCAGCTGTGTACACTTGTATCAAATCTAACCTAAATGGGATTTAAATGAGGTGGAATATGGCCAATTCTAAAACCTCATGCAAACTGGAAAGTTTCCAAAGTGAGTCACAAAAAACATAAACTGAACTAGAAGATTTTTGTATTTAATTAAATTAGTCTCTTTAAGTATGCAAACTTTAATTCCTTAAGATTTGAATCATATTGGAAATATTGAAACAGGTTTTCCCTTCATGATAAATGTGCATGACTATTTCAAGAATTAGAAAAAATAAGGATTTGTGAAATACTAGTATAGAAAATCTAAACATGTACATGTACCAGTACCAAATAAATGTGAAAATAACATAAATGAATCCCAAGAATGACTGAATCATTAAAAAAAAAATCATTTTGTACATGTATATATTAGCAATTTTTTGGATACAGCACTCTCTCTCTCTCCCTCCCCCTCTCTCCCCTCCTCTCTCTCTCTCTCTCTCTCTCTCTCTCTCTCTCTCTCTCTCCCTCCCTCCCTCTCCCTCCCTCCCTCCCTCCCTCTATTATGATTATATATTTTTTAAATACATATTTATTGCAGTGTAATACTATCATACTGAAGCTTTTTAAATGTACTTGTATATCTGCTTGTTTCAATACAATAAATAAATTTGTAGTACATGTGTACTCATGAAAAAGAGAGTGAGAAATTGGGATTGAAAAATTTACATTATTTTGATTGCTTTTCTGATCACATTAAATTGCATCAAATATGCATGATTCTTTTTTTTTTATATACTTATATTGTGTATTACATGTCATTTTATGAAAGAAACTGTTTTTGAATGCTTTTGATATCTTGTTATAACAATTTTTGGTCACTTGATAATTTTATTACCAATATTATGCTACATGAATATTAAATTCACTTTATTATGAGTTTTAACATTGTCATTGTTAAATCAAGACACTTTCACTTTTTGTTAATGTTGCTAAATGTTCATTGCAAGGCTTACATTTCTGCAAAAGAAGTAAGTTACATGGATTGTTCAACCAGAAACTTCAACTTTCAGTTCAACTTTTGTTTCAACTGGACAGTTTTACCTTCTTTTGAGTCCTGCTTCTTTAGTTTATCTTGTCACGAAATTTCCATTCAGTTTCTTTGTATTGCATGATTGATGTTGAATGAACTAGTTGAGTTGTTGCAGATCTTTTTATTTTTCAGTCATAGTTTCAACTTTGATTATTAGATTCATGAATCTGTTTTGTAGATTTAGTACATGACTGTATATTTCAGTTTAGTAACTTTGAGATATGTATAAAGGAAACACACAATTTTCATATAGGTTATAGTTTATAAATGTCAAATTCTAGTGGCTGAAAATTTAATATGAAGAATAATTATGAAAAAGAATTGTAGCACATACACCCATTTTCAATTTGAAACAAAAAATCACATCTCTTAGTTCAAGATTAAAGATGTTTACACAAATGACTCAAATATTTACACAAATAATGAAAACAAAACATCTATATCTGTATAATGAAGACTTTCATTTTGATTATGACCAAAGGAAATTCTTACAAATATGGTAACGCTTCTGCCTTTTATTTCAGTGGACTGGACTACTCTCGGCCATGGCACGATAGTTACGTGGCGGCCAGACAGAACATCAAGGAAAACCTACACACCCTCCACCCCTCTATGCAGACTGTCCTCAGGATGTGTCAGTCTACACTGGGCAACATGATCCTTGTAGACTGCTCAAACTTCAGGTAATGAATAACAGGGGTGTGTTGTTTTACAAGTGCCTGTATTCTGATCTCTTAAAATTGACACAGACATATACTAGTATATATAGCAGATTCAGTGTAGCAGGAGCATTTTTGAAAATCTTTTAAAGGAAGGTTGAAAATGGACAACATGTGTAGTATAGAAATTCCTTAATGTAAAATACATGCAATCAAGATTTAGGTTTATTTGATAATTGAATTTTATTATTTCAGTGAGATTAGAACCAAAAACTTAGAGCTTAATAAATGTCACTTATGCATTGTCTTAAACTCTGATATTGATATAAAACTGATTGAGAAAGATGATTAAAACTTTAGACCTGAATTTTCAATTATTTGATTTCAGAGCCAATGGACCAGTGGAATTTGAGTCCTTTAAGAACACCCTTATTCTGGATCTAGAGAAAACAGAGGATAAATTGAACAACAGCTGGTTCCCTGGCATTATCAATGTCTTTGCAGACAAGAACACATTTGTTTCACCCAAGGCTGAAAAGCTGGACTCATTCTTTGAATGTGTGACAACACTGATCTCAAACCAGGTAAAGTATTCAACCTTCACCATTGAAGGAGAATTGCTTTTTACCTTAAAAAAACTTTCTCTCTACCAAAATGAAAAAAAACATAATTTATATAATTTTTGATGTTGCATATTAATTCATATGTTGATTTGTGTTTCCAGCTGAAGGATTTACTAGTGAGAACCATTGACAGTTACGTCACTCTGTTTGATCCTAACGACAAGTCCAAGCTGCCTCTGATGAAGATGGAGCTGACCTTTGATGACCAGAAAATGCAGTTTTATCCCCCAAAGGAAGATTTAGAGGAGACCGCCCTCTTTGTGGTCAACCACATCTGTAAGGCCATGCAGCAGGTGCCCACCGTCCAGTCATGGTTAGCCGGTGGCAGCACGGTCAACCACACAGACGCCACCGTGGCAGAGCATGTGGTTAAAGCTGCAGTTCAGACGTTGAAGGAGGCAGTGAAGAGAGAATTTGAAGGGCCACAGTTACACCTAGATTCATTTGGTGAGTGGTCTTATTTATGTCATTTTTTGATAAATCTTTAACTTACTATACGAGCTTGTCTTGGTATATTTTTTTGTTTTATTTTATCAAATTTTTAAAAGTAAATTGACATTAAAGCTGTTTTTTGAGATATTGAATAGAATTTCATTTTGTTACAAATCGTTATTTTTTTTACAGTAAAGAGATATGACTACATTGTGAATGGAGAAGCCCTGAAAGAAATTCAAGAATATGTGAAATATGAGCACACTTTTGCTGAGTATCAGAAAGTAAGATCTTTTTTTTTATAACATAATTTCCTGTCTAGAAAAAAAAGGAAAGATTTCTAATTTTTATATAACACTGATGTTTTTTTTCCTTTGTAGCATATTGATAGATACAGAAATCTTGCCAGTGAGATCATGGGACTGCCGAGTATAGAACACTTTGACATGATTCGTCTGGATTGTGAGGACCTAAAGCGAGGATTGGCTGAGGCCGCCCGAGGATTGGCTGACGAACTCCTCAGAAAAGTCTCCGATGACCACAGAGCTGAAAACAAGAGGCAAGTTGTAATTAAGAACATTTTCAAATATCAAGTTAAAACATGTACTGTTGTATTTTGAAAAATAATCCTTTAAAAAAATGATCTAAAGTAGACAAGCTTTTTCTTCGTTGGATTAATTTATGTTATGTTCATGGTCTCAAATTTTTTTCAGCATATATAAAGTACAATTAAGATAAAAACAATTGCAATCCAAGAAATCCATATTTTTAACTCAATATTGAACAAAACTGCAATTTCACAGAACCATGACCACATTGGGAAAAAAAAGATTTTTTTCTCACAGTTTTTGTAGAATATCAATAAAACTATTTCATACCTGTACTTTATAATTATCATGAAATGTTTATATCATTTTTCAGCATTTGTGAGGAATTCCAGACAATCAGAGACAAGGCTCTGAAAACCCCCGATTCCAGTGAAGAGTTGATGGAAATGGTGAAGTTCACACAGGAGGCTAGAACCAGTGGAATGGTGAAACTGAATGAACGCATCAAGGAGTCTAAGGACCGGCTGGCCTATCTTATTGATGTGTACATGTTCCCACCAGAGGACATTGAACTGAACTGTGAGGTTCTGACCTGGCCAAATAGAATCTCACCAGTCTTTGATGAAAATGACGAGGTGTGTCTTCTTGGATTTATGTAGCAAAGTTTTATTTTTTGGTCCTAAACTGTTAGGGGGTTTGAGGAAATAGAGCTAAATTTTACTTGATAATATCATCCCTATTTGTCAGTAATAAAACTGACAACAAAACTTAATATATCTTATAGGAGGATAAATATTTAATATCAAAAGTTTTTAACATTGAAGTGCTGTGATGAGAAGGGAGGTAACTCTTTTTATACCCAACCAACAATATCCTTGATATTATGAATAACACTTCTGTTTTGGTTTTGGCACTCAGCTGATAGAGAAATCTAAACAAGCAGGAGAGCGCCAGTTATTGGAGAAGAGAGAGAAGGTAATAGCAGAGCTGAGAGAGACTCCGACAGCGTGTGGATGAATTTAATGATTACGGTGAACTGGACATGATGACCCAGTACGTACAAGATGTCCGCGCTGTACAGAAACGTCTGGCCGACGTACAGGAACAAATCAGCTTCATTAACAAGGTCAGTGAAAAGTTTTTTTCACATAATTTCTTAAAAAGAATGCGAAAATTTTATTAATTTTCAGGGATGAAGGGGATGGGGGTAAATGTCTAGTGAGTGTCAATGCATTAAAGTGAACACTTTTGCAAAACTAAGTTTCCATTAAAGAAAAAATATTAAACTACACTGTTTTAGGCATTGTTACAAAAAAGAAACAATGCCAGTGAAAATATGCAATAAGAAATGTTTGTGTCAAACTGCATAAGATTTATGTCATGTAATGTACAATACTGATTGCTTAACAAATAAATAATAATAATTTAAAAAAAACTAGAATGTGTTGATATCACACACTGGTATAATTTAATTCGCAGGGAGGACTTACGTTATGTATAAATCAGAGAATTAGAGCTAGCGCACTGTCTACATATATATAAAGTATTATTCAACAAATTAAAGATGATTTAATTTTATTATTTAAAGGGGGAGGAAATAAGCACCTCCTTAAAATTTACCTGGTCTTAGAACCCCTGTCAATCATCTGAAATTAAACCTGGGATTGGATACTTTGATTTGATTGACATTTAGTTTGCTGTATGGGTCAGAATTACCCTAAATGCCAGCAAAGATCAATAACACAATTTAAACTTAACAATAATTTATTTACAGTAATATATAATAAGTATATGAAACATAAAGTACAAACTTAGCAAGAATCTAAAAATACATACATCAGAGTGTCCGTTGCTGCACACAATGTCCCAGTGAAAATATATATCCCAGTTATATCTCAATAGTGCTTATACGACAAAGTATTCACAATTATTGTATATCTATGCATTGAATTGACAGGGTATTTATACAGTATTATAAATCTAGAATATTCTAGAAAATGTTAAAACATGATATTACTGGAACAATCTGGACATACACAAAATTTAAGAATGTTCTAGATAAAATGACCAAACATGTTGACCACTCTGGAATGTTCAAGAAACTTAATGTTACTAATTATATACATAATAAAACAATACACATCTCACAACACCTCCCCCCTTAAAAAAGTTTGAATGTCAATGAAAACTTATATTATTAAAATAAAAGTTTTGTACATTAATACAAAATCTAGTATGTTTACGATACTCTTGACAAAGCGTCTGCAATAACATTGTCTTTGCCTTTGATATGCTTAATTGTTATGTTGTATTCTTGTAACAACAAACTCCATCTAGTCAGTCTTTGATTCTTGTTTGACAATTTATGCAAAAATGTCAGGGGGTTGTGATCCGTATATACAAGAATTGGATGCAAAGTAACATTCAAATAAACATCAAAATGCTGTAAAGCTAACAACAAAGCAAGGCATTCCTTTTCAATGGTGGAATAGTTTTGTTGACATTTTGTAAGTTTCTTTGAAAAATAAGAAACAACTCTATCTACATTATCACTATGTTCTTGAAACAAAGCTGCCCCGATTCCAACATCACTAGCATCAACAGTAAGCTTAAATTGCTTAGAAAAATCTGGAGTTGACAGAACTGGGTTGCTCATAAGGACAGATTTGATTTTATGGAAGGATTTTTCACAGTCCTTTGTCCATTCAAATTTAACCCTCTTTTGTAAAAGATTTGTAAGTGGACTAACAACTGAGGAAAAATTTGGACAAAATTTTCTGTAAAACCCAGCCATGCCCAAAAACCTCATTAATTCTTTCTTGTTTGTAGGAATCGGGAACTTTGCAATAGCTTCCACTTTAGCCATAATGGGTGTAACATAACCTTGACCTACTTTATGACCTAAATACTCTACATAAGCATGACAAAATTCGCTCTTCTCAAGATTCACAGTTAAGTTTGCTTTAGCTAAAATGTCAAATAAAGCACGCATGATTCGAAGATGTTCGTCCCATGTGTCACTGTATATGATGACATCATCAATGTAGGCCTCGCATCCCTCAAGGTCTTGAAGAAGGGAGTGAATCATCCTTTGGAATGTAGCCGGTGCGTTTTTCATGCCAAAAGGCATTACTTTATACTGGTAAAGTCCATCTGGTGTAGCAAAAGCAGATATTTCTTTTGCTCTTTCTGTTAACGGCACTTGCCAGTAGCCTTTCAACAGGTCAAATTTACTGACAAATTTGGCGTTTCCAATGTTGTCAATACAGTCATCGATTCTAGGTATTGGGTATGAATCAGTTTTGGTAACAGAATTCACCTTTCTAAAGTCTGTACATAATCGGTACGAACCGTCTTGTTTTGGTACAAGAATACATGGTGAGCTCCAATCACTTTTACTAGGTTCAACAATGTCATTGTCCAACATGTACTGCACTTCCCTTCTTAGGTACTGCAATTTTATTGGATTCAGACGGTACGGATGTTGTTTGATAGGCAGAACGTCACTCATTATGACATCATGACAAGCTGCATTAGTTTTCTTTGGAACATCCGAAAAGATTTGATGATACTCATTCATCAAGTTTTTAACTTGTTCTTTTTGGTGAATGTTCAAATGTCCAAGTTTGGCATCAAAATCAGCCAAAATTTCTGAGTTTTTCAAACGAACACTCTGATTACAATCTTTCTCATTCATTTCTACACTCGTATCACTTTCAATACAATTTTGAACAGTCTTAGCATTGGCTAAAGTGGAAACTGGTTTTACAGAATTTCGGTCACACCTTTCAAAATACTCTTTTAACATGTTAATGTGACAAACCCGTTTCTCTTTACGTCGACCTGGTGTCTTAACTACATAGTTTACATCACTGATCTTGCTTTCAATTTCATAAGGGCCATAAAATCTGGCCTGTAAAGGATGACCAGGAATAGGTAAAAATACAAGAACCTTATCACCTGGCTTAAACACCCTATTTCTAGCATCTTTGTCATACCACATTTTCATTTTCAACTGAGAACTCTTCAAATTTTCTTGTGCTAATTTACAAGCATTGTAAAGTTTTTCTTTGAAATCAGACACATAATCTAAAAGATTAAGATCACTAGTCTCAGTCAGCCACTTTTCCTTCAACAATTTCAAAGGACCTCTAACTGTATGACCGAACACCAATTCAAAAGGACTAAACCCAAGAGACTCCTGGACTGCCTCTCGTGCAGCAAATAGTACAAGATGAACCCCTTCATCCCAGTCTTTCTCATACTGGTAACAATAGGTCTTCAGCATTGTTTTTAGGGTTTGATGAAAACGTTCTAGCGCTCCCTGGGACTCAGGATGATAAGCAGTTGATCTATATTGCCTTATACCCAACTCATGCATGACTTGCTGGAACAACCCCGACATAAAATTTGAGCCTTGATCCGACTGAATTGCCTTGGGTGCTCCTACAAAACTGAAAAACTTGGTTAGGGCCTTAACTATGCTCTTTGCCTTTATATTCCGTAGAGGTATGGCTTCAGGAAACCGAGTGGATGTACACATAATGGTAAGTAAATACTGGTTTCCAGATCTGGTCCTAGGCAAAGGTCCTACACAATCCACCAACACTCGACTAAACGGTTCTTCAAAAGCTGGAATGGGTTGGAGAGGAGCAGATGGTATCTTCTGATTTGGTTTACCTACCATCTGACAGACATGGCATGACTTGCAAAACTTCGAAACATCCTTTCTTAGCTTAGGCCAATAAAAATGACTCAAAATCCTATTATAAGTCTTATTGATACCTAAATGACCAGCCATAGGTGTATCGTGAGCTAAACTCATGACATCTCGATGATAAGCAGCTGGGACCACTATCTGGTGAACAACACGCCACACTTCATCTGGAGAAGCGTCAGGTGGTCGCCATTTTCGCATAAGGATGCCATCTTTCATATAGAAGCATTCTCCAACTTTAATAGCCTCTTCTGGTGGAAGTGCCCTCTTACTAAGTTGAATGATATCTGGGTCTTTATGTTGTTCAGAGAGTAAACGTTCTCGGCTGAGGATGTCCTTGCCTTGGCTAACTAGTGGATGCAACTCATCATCCTCACCACCAAATTTTGGTAAAAATTCTTTCTTCTCTTGCTTCTTGATATTGTGTGGTTCCATGCTGGTTTGAGTGCCATCAAGGTCAGATAAGAAAGTGTCATTCAAATCAATATCAACAGAGGAATTCGTCTCGTCAAAGGCTTGAGTATGGTCTGCCTCCATTTCTCGTCTTCTGGCCATCGCTCTAGTAACAGCACAGGCTGGATAAATGTCATCATCTTCATCATCGCACATGACATCTGGATTGATCTTCTCACAAACTATAGGATCTGGTACAACTTTCCCACCAGCTAAATCGTTGCCTAACAACAAAGAAATGCCTGGAACGGGAAGAGTAGGTCGAACACCTACGATAACAGGTCCAGTAACTAAATCTGACTTCAAACTAATTCTATGCAGGGGAACATCAATGACGCCTAGCTCCACACCCTGTAATAAAACTGACCCACCAGTAGAAGTCTGCTCAGACAAAGGAAGCACGCCCTCTAACAATAACGTCTGTGCAGCACCAGTATCTCTCAAAATCTGGACAGGTTTTATTTCGCTAGAGTCACCGAGTGAAACAAATCCCTGAGACATAAAGGGCTTATAATCCTCCATAGAATCAATAGAACTGGACTGTGAACCCTGGACATCAGGAGTGTCAGAACAAATCGAAACTAAGGCTTCTCTATCACCTCTAACTGCCGCACAAGCGTGTGGTTGAGTTTTATCAAAATCATTTTTTCTCTTAAGTTTAAAGCATTCACTGATCAGATGACCCTTTTTCTTACAATAACTACAAGTAGGAAGCGACCCTATTCCAGAAGATCCTTCAACACGTCCTGGACCGGACTTAAAACCACCTTGGGATGGAGACTGGGAACTTGTGAAAGACTGAGACCCTGAACCACTCTTTTTATATGTGTCTGAATTGGTAGAATTA